TATATATATATATATATATATATATATATATATTCGAGACATGGCAGAGTGGTTCAATCAAAACCAGGCAGTATCTGGAATTGTACATCAGGTCCGTAGTAAGAAGGATGTCAGGCCATTGACACATGATTCTAAATGTGACCAAGCTATCTCCAACCAACACCAGACCCACCGGGAATGTACATCCGGAGGAAGGAAGAATGCCATAATGGGAAAAAGTAATCAGTCAGATATCTATAGATTAACACAACATAGTGGAACATATCTGGAATTGGATATCGGATCCGCGGTAGGAAGTGCATTATGCCATCAACACCCTCAGAAAGCCACCACCCTACTCTCAACTGAGTGGTATGCTGCATCACTCAGGAGGATGGACAACCACCCCAGCAGGTAGGAACTGGTAAGTGGCAAGGACTTCCATAATCCACTAGGAAAAATGAAGGTAAAACACCATGGAGAGCATGGAAGACTGCAGAAATGGGTGACCGCAATACCCTATTTTGAAAAGCAGAGCTATCATGTCAATGAAAGCGATCAACTCAGTAGCATCTAGAATTGTACATCAGGCCCATGGTAGGAAGACCCTCAACACCACGGAGCATCAGAGATGGGCAGCTATCCCTGTCTGCTTTATTCATTTGTGTACTTGAGTGTACAGTCTGGAACAAGCATATTTATGAAGCAAATGACTATGAGATAGAACTACTAGCACTCCTATGGAATATGCCATCTCTATGGTGTGTGTAACCTAATCCTGCGACATAATGGTTTCTGTATAGATGACAATTGAATGGTGACAGACAATCGACACCTGGCAGCATCTGTAATTGTACATCAGTTCCAGGGAAGAAAGGGCTACAATGTAACTGACACTGAGCCTGGTCACAGGATGGACAGTGCAGATTTAAAAAAAAAGCATACCTGATCAGGCTCCACTCACGACAGAGTGGGATCCACAAAACATTAGCAAAAAGACTCTTGAAAAAGTAAGAAATGTTGGAAAAAGCAACGTTTCACAATTCACAAATGGAAAAAATTAAAGAAATAGTAAAGAAAAACTAAGTCTGTAGTATAAAGAAAAATGTCAACAAACTTGCGAGCAAAACAAGCACATCTGTTGATTACTACTGCCAATCAAGAATTGATTAATGAGTGCAAATGTGGAGAGGGCACTGGTTATGATAGGGATTACGTCACACTCCTATAGGTGGAAAGCTGCTGCATAGTCATTTACATGTAGATATGCAGAAACGGGAGGTGGAAGGCTAATGGTGAGCATTGAAAATTTGCGTTGATAGATGGCAGTTCTAATCGAGAAAAGCTATTTTGTGAAAGGAGATAAGATATTATATCGGAAAACATAAGGAATGAGTATCATTAATGGTCTAGAATGGCCCTACTGAATAAAAAAACAGTAAAAATACATAGAAATGTGTTTTATTGGCTAAAGTAATCACTAACACATCCTTAACAATAGTAAAACACAATGTTATGCAAGTTAAGGTGATGATAATATGGTCCAGCATACAGAGCAGGAACAGGGGAAAATGTCCTAATTTGATTTGGAATAGCCTTCTGTACACAACTGACACAATATGTGAGATAGATTTTGAAACAAGTTTGTTGTGCATATGGAGATGTTATGTTTCTTGCAAGTTTCTACACTTCAGATTCCATGGAATACTTTACCTCATGAAGTATAGTAATATTAAATCAACTACGAATACCATCCACTTTCCTAGAAAGCTCTACTGACTGATCCAGGATGATGTAAATGTATCTGAAAACTTCTGAATGTTTAATGCTTATGTAATCATTTATAAGTAATATGAAGCATTAAAAATGATAAAAAAACACAAAAAAGGATGAAAGAAAAACAACACAATAATGGGTTGAATAAAACTATTAAAAACCAGCTCACAATCCTTTTGCTACCTCTTAGTTATGTTAGTTGCCACTGTGGAAACCACTATAATAAACACATTTTTATTTTGAAAAAGTGGTACTAAAATCTGATACCTTTCTAGAATACTGGATACAATGAAAAACAGATCAACTGCATATAATGCCATTACTAAATTATACTGATTGTAATCAACTCTGATTCAATACCAGAGCCATAAAACTAACTGACAAAAAAAATAAAATTCATCTCAACTGGAAATCAAATTTTCAAACTATAACAGAAAAGTGTATTAATATGGAGTATAAAAATTATAACTAGTTTCTCTTTGATTTAAAATTTTTTTGCAAATTAAACCACAGGAGTATTTTTTTACCTTAGTGCAGCAGTAGTTTGATGGAACAAGCAAATCTCGGACTAGAAACACATGAATTAGAGTTTCAGCTAAGTTAATAGCATCAGGCTCACTACTATTTCTTACTTGATGAATCAGCTGAACACCTTGGTGACAACTACAACTGGCAATCTGAATATATACATCACAAGTAAATGTCAAAAAATATTACAATGCAGTATTCTTGAAAAAAAAAAATATATACAAGCATTGACTGAAGTTATAACTAGTATGTTTAAAAACACAATTACTGGTATATAACTAAACAGTACATCTGGAAATAAGTTCATCAGAAATCTTAAAACTGTTTATGTGTGAGATATATGACCACAAACTGAAAAATAATTTTTTGTGGTAAATGCTTAACACCACTAAATCCACCAAAGACAGTTTTCTTCTGGGGGATAAAATTTATCTTTGAATAAATTGAAATAAGCTTACTATTGAACAAGTTAAAGCAGAAAAGCAATTATCAAAACCAGGAATAAAAACTGTTACGTTTCATGTAATACGGTAGTCAAAGGTCTAATTTGTCTAATACCTATATTATATATAGAATATCACATGTTCCTACAAGAGGAACAATATAAAAGTAGAATTATCTGAAAGAAAAAGTTGTAAAATAAACATTTTACAGTAACTGCCAAAAAAAAAAGAAAGCTTATCCACAAACAGTTATATTTCCTTCTCTATTACAAAATGTTCACAAAGAAGCAGATTTTGTATCCATTAAACCCACTTTTCTTTTGGCAGGGGACTTAAAAATTAAGGAAGATACATACTGTGTTATTAGCCATGGCATAACTGCTCATAGAATGGCTCCAAGGATTTTTTTTTTTTCAAGTATAAACTTTTAGCTCATAGCTCGTCCTCTCTCGACTGATTTGAGATCTAATTACAGTTTTGGACTCAGGAGGTCAAAACCTTTTGATGGATGTAGTTAACCACACCTAAGGTCTCATAAATTAATTTACTCTAATTCTGCCTAAAATAATTTCAATTTGAGGGTAGGCTGGTAGAGATTCTGATGAATAATAAAATCATATCAGGTATGCATGCACCCCACACTTGGTATTGCTGGCACACAAAAAATATAGCTAATAAAATAAAATAATTTAATTCTGCCTTAAAGAATTAAGTGCCACTACTATTGAGGATTCACTCTTGTTTTTAACTTAACCTACAGTAATTTAAAAATAAAATACATTTAAAATCAGCCAATATTTTATACTATGGCAATCTTTAATAAACTTTAATCATTAACTGTAGTAGCAAGCAACACAGGGAATATTTTGATTTTACTATATGACAAAAATTACATCAATAATTGCAATTACACATGTTGAAATATTATTGAATACATGCAAAACAAGTTACACTATTAAAATACTATTAAAGAACAAGAGAGAAAAATAATCCATTCATGATCTAGTATTGGAATAGAATTATCATAGAAAATTTTTATGGAAATAAAAAAGTGTTTCATGGTCTTACATTGCAGCTCTCACATATTGATAAAGTTTAAAATAAACAACTGTTTCTATATACAAGCTCCTTCAGAAACAATATGAAAGCCAAAGTTATCATACAAGATAGCTTTTGATTTAAGCTTACAAACTTAAAAGTTAATGGATATATTTCCATAAAACAATTACTTGAGGTCATATTCAATGCACACTCAGAACCTTAAAAAACAATGGTTCCATTTTTCAGTCTACTAATGATCACATGGTTCTAGACCTGGTATTTTGTACAGCCTATTTAAAGTGCATAAAAAAAGATACTTTTCTTCCACCTATTCTTTTCTCTCTCAACTCCCATTCCTACAATCTTGAAAAAAAATATTTTCCATTCTCAAAACCCTTACCATTAATAAATTTAGTGTTAGTAATTCCTTTGAATTTGTTCAACAAATTAATTCTGTCTTCTTGCTCTATTTCATAACACACTATACCATTACGTCTCTTTTCACCAACATTTTTATTCTCAAACCTATTAACATTTGTTTCTCCAATCTTTTTAATAACAATACTAAACAAATTTTTCATAAAACTCTGTTACAATACAAGGCGTGGTTGCTAGACTAGTGATAAGAACATACATTGTTGAAAAAAACTATGCTTACTATATTTTATTAAAAACAAATTGAAGAAATATGTTATTCCAACAATTAAGTGTGTGATTAGGTAAATAATGTTTCTAAAACATTATATAATTGGACAGAAAAAAAGACAAAAAAATTCATAGAAGAGAATTGTAATAAAAATGCATTGATCTGAACATTATGTTTAAAAACCAGCATACATCTGGTCAAAAATGATGGGGCAAGTACTATCACCCCCACCCACCGTATATCCTAACCTCACATTTCATAGCTAACCAAAATAAACGTTGGTGATATAACAGAATATAGCTTAATTCAGAAAAGATTTAAGTTAAAATTTAATTGATATTTTTACTTTCCTGTTAAAATTTTATGCATCTGGCTCTAGGCTAGGTGATCCCAAAACTCACTACACTTATAAGGTTTCACGGCACTATCCCTTATGGCCCCCTTGCACCCTCGTCACTAAAACCATAATGGGCAGACAGTAATTGAACTATTCTATCTGAATAAATGCATTTTGGCTTTTACAACGACTCCTCTTTCTAGAAATCAAAATAAATGTAGTGTGATGTGATGTGACACACATTGGCTTTTATATAGGATATATTATACAGAGAAGTTATTCAATTAGCACCAAGTTGTCATCTATGTCTGTTTTATATCACATTTCAATATTTTAACTATCCACTCTGTATTTTAATATGTTACATTCATAGATCTTTTACCTCTCTAACTAGTTCTGAAACTCTCCCTGTGCGATGTAGAAGCAGCAACTGCCAAATAAAGACTTTCTGATTTTTTTGTTGCTGGACATTCTGTTCTAATTCTTCAGAGACAATCCCACTGTAGCTATCCAAAGTATTGAACATGTTCTGGTTAGTGTTCTTACTTAACTCACAAAGTTTTAATGCAATGTCTTCCTGTTTCTTTGCAGCTAAGTCTTCTACTCTCTTCAGAATCATGTCCACTGGAGGAGGCCCTGGGTAAAACATATTTTTAGTAATTCATAATACATAACATATGTCAATACTAACTTAATAAAAAATATTTAAACAACTTCAATTACTTTATTTAAAGAATCTACAACTAAAAAGTTTAATCTCCCTATGTAAACAAAAATTTTATTTACTCTTATTAACTTAAAGAAACATACATTACAATTATATTTACCATTTAAAGTAACATCAAAAGTGGCCAAATGGACAATTCCAGTAAAGCTCTCTCTCTCTCTCTCTCTCTCTCACACACACACACAAAAATCAGTAAATAATTAAATTAAGATATAATGTTACATGTATGCACACAAGATACAGTTGATATTGTGATGCAATACTAAATTGGTAGTTTCTGGTTTAATGCACTAGAATATAAAATAATGTTTTACAAAAAAATTATTTTTTGAGAGTATCAAATGTCAACATTTTCCTAAACTGAAACTGTATTTCTTTTAAATACTTACCTCCTCTCATAAATAACTTTCTCAATTAATACTGCCCTCTATCAGGACAGAGTTTTTGCATAAATACATGCAAATGATCATGCAGCAACCCTCCAAGAATAGGAGTGCAACACTACCCCTATCATAAATAGTGCCCTCTCTAATAATGCACCTGTTAATCACTTCAGGATTGGCCATGACCAAGTCAACCAATACACAGAAAGTTGAGAGGATGAGTGGGAAATGTGAGAGAAGGCAAGTATCTATCGGAAATACATTTTCAGTTTAGGAAAACATTATCTTCCGATACAATATCATACCCTCACTAACAAAAAGCTAGAATCCCATACTGAACTGGTGAAGGGCCAGTGAGAATATGATCCTCCTTTAGAAAGTGCCCAAAGAAAAACCATGATATGTGGTAAGAAATTAAAAACAACACACCAATGGGAGACCACACCACATCTGAGCCAAGTATACCCTTTGCCCTTCAGGAATGTGTCACCAAAATGTAAAGGGCAGAAACATGTAGGGGGCCCAAAATCTTTTAGCAAGAAATGGACCCCCAGGTGCCAAGTGGCTAGGACATGTGAAATTGTACATCAAGTCTGTAGTAGGAAGAGGGCCCTTTAACTTTCACCTCAAAAATGAGTACTTAGAAGGAAGACAAGCTTCCCTACCAAGGACCTATCTCCACATGTGCGCATCTCCAACAAAATCAACACCTGATCCACAGTAAACCAACATCGAACAGATGGTAGGAAGTAAGGAGAGCTCAGGAGGCATTCATCTCTGGTCCAAAACCTGATGGCATTGGGAATGTGACATCCAGTCCATTGTAGGAACAGGGAACCCAGCCTTACGCACATGGGAATTAATGTGTCTTGTTCAGCTTCCATCCAACACTTGATCCACAGGAACTTACTTTCAGAGGCTGATAGGAAGGAGGAATGCCTGAGCCAGAGGGATAAACTGCAATATATATAAACATGGTGGAGTGCTACAACAAACACCTGGCAGCTTCTGGGATTGTACATCAGGTCCAAGACAGGAAGGGTGTTACACCATCTACACTGGCAGAATGGCACTACCCTACTCTCAACTGAGCGGTATGATGCATTACTCAGGAGAACAGGCCTCCATGGTTCACTGCCCCACCTATTAAGAACTGATAAGTGGCAAGGACACCCATATACAACTAGAAAAAAGGGGGGAAATGCATTGGAGAGTCTGGAGGATTGCAGCACCAGAGACAGTACTATGGGTGACCGTGATACCCTGTTTTCAAACAAAGAGTTATCACGATGATGGAGTCAATAAGCCAACACCTGGTGGTGCCTGGAATTCTACATCAGGTCCGCAGTAGGAAGAGCCTCAACAACACGGAGTATCAAAGATGGACAATATTCCCTGTCTACTTTACCCATGTAAATCCTTGAGTTTACAGACCAGAATGAACATATTTACGAAGCACAAGACTACGAGATATACCTATGATTGATCGCACAGAACACCCAGTCTCCACAGTATGTGTAACATGAAACTGTGACATGTGATGATTTGTCATGTATGAATTGTTGATGTCAATGCATTGATAACAATCAGATGGAGTCGATCAAACAACACCCTGTGGCATATGGAATTGTACATCAGGTTCATAGTGGGAAGAGCCTCAAAATTATAGTAATCTAGCATGGTCCCAGGATGAACAGTGCAGATTTGAAACTAAGAATACCTGGTCAGGCACCACTTGCCACAGAGTGGGATCCATAACCAATCAGCATGAGGAAGAAGCCAAATAGGAAGATAATCTTATAGATAACAATCGATCCAATTCTGGCTGACAGTATCCACTGCATCTTCTTACGGATGAGGAACAGGTGATCAAAAATAGGGAAGTTGGTTTCAGAAGGGACATAAATGTGTACAAATTAGGGACATCTCAAAGAGCACACATCTCCCGAGAAACAATAGGATCCAAACACCACCCTGTCAGTAGAATCTTGTCAGGTCAGAATAACTGATCCATGATCAGATTCAGGGCACTCAGAATATGGCATGCCAGCAAAGTAGCTTGATGGCTGTGGACCCCCAAAAAAATATCTAATGTTCAAAAACAAAGGTCCCTTGACCGGATACTCCCTAGCCTGGTGCTATAGGACACCACCATTGAAGTATCCGAGGAGATCATCACTACCTGTCCCCGAACAGACAGATGGAAGTGAAGGACAGCTCGCTGAAAGCAAGAAGCTCCAAGATATTGATATGGAAAGTGGATTTAGTAAGTGTCCACTGCCCCCAAACCTCCTGACAGTTGAGATATGCTCCCATACCAGAAAGAGAAGAATCCATAAAAAGGTGACAATTCAGATGAGGAAGAGGAACCTGCACAGTAGCATTGGTCCAATCCAGCCACCAGGCAAAGTCTGTCAGTAACGGAAATGGAAGGGTAAGCGGAGTATCCATGCGGTCCCAAACAAAGCTCCATTGGTCGATTAAAGCCCCTTGAAGAAGGCACCTGTGGGCTCAACCAAGAGAAATGAGGGTTTCAAGAGAAGCCCACATCCCCAAAAGAGATAGAAACTCTCATGCAGTAAGAGAGAGAGAGAGAGAGTGAGGAGGAGACCTTGCAAATGAGACATTTTATATATCTCAACCAAAGTGAAGAAGACTGGGCTCAAATGAGAAGAGAATTTAAAAACATGCCAAGATGAACCAGAAACTGGGTAGGTAGGAATGACTTCTCTTTGATGAGCCAATCAACCCTGGCAGATGGCCGAAAAAGATAACGAGTATGGAGGGTAGAGTCGGCCCATAAGAATGTCACCAGAAGCCAGTCATCCATGTAATGAAAGAAATGATGGCCCTGAGAATGAAGCAGTCAAGCAAATGACCGAACAACTTGGCAGAACACATAGGGGGCTGAGGCCAGGCCAAAATGAAACAGCTGAAACTGAAAAAAACCATATGATGAACAAAACAAAGGAAATGTTGGTATGCCAGGGAGATGGGAATATGGACACATGCATCTGAGACACAGAACTGGAAGGAAAACCTAATAGAGAGTTAATTTAGATTCCATGGTGAACTTGGGAAGGACAGGAAGCAATTCAGAGACGATAGCTGGGTGCTATCTCCCATCTTATTAGGAACAACATACAGACAAGAAGAAAACCCTAGATGAGAAGGATCTCATTCAATGGCATTCTTGATAATTAAATCCCAAACTGCCTCCGATAAATTCTGGCATGATACGGGATCCTGCAGAAGGGCAAGGAAATTGGATGGGGGAGACAATGGGGGAGATGACAGGAAGCAGAGTGACAGACCTATGGAAACCATTTACAAAACCCATGAAGTGACTGTAAACGACCTCCAAACATGGGCACAGTGGAAGAGTCTGGCCTCCACTGTCCCTAACCTGAATACAGAGCCACCAACAGGGAATGCCCCAAAAACAAAATGGGCAGCCAAACAATTGTGCAATGCAGATGGAAAAGAAGTTGGGACTGGCAAAGGGTTAGAAGGTGGAGGTGAGCCACTGAAACAGGAACAGGTGGGTGGGACAAAGAGAAGCGAATGTTAGGGTCTGAACCCTACAAAGGAATAAGAGATTCCAAATGTTGCGAGTCTAAATATCTGTAGTTGGCACAATAAAAAATAAAAGCATGATCATCCAATGTATGAGGGGGATGAGGAATAATGACCCTTGATCGCAACTATTTCCCAACATGACTAACATGAACTCCAATGTCCAGTAAAGGAAGAAAAACCTGATACTGACACAAAGATTATTTCCCAAGAAGGGCAGGGATAAAATCACAGGAAACAGGAGACAAAGACAAAATCAAACAAACTTGATTAATTAAGTCAACAATGGGAGGAGGAGGCCTGGGTAAGTCCCTTGAAATGACTTGCAACTGAGAAGCATATTCAGGAGGGGAGAAAAGGCTATCCAAATCCACATCCTCCTTGTCAGATGCCCCAGGTCCTGGTATGACAGGATACTCCTCAGGTGGTTACGAATATTGCATGAAATTAGACAATTCTCCACAGATCATAGTAGTCATGTCACCAGCCAATAACTGTGGAACCAAACCTGAAAACATGGTTGGTAAATCCACAGATGTAGTAACAGCAGTGGTAGTTAACTACCCGAAACTGCGAGTAGACATTTACAAAGTATAAACTCAAATAACAAATTGAACAAAAAAATATATACAGAAAAAAAGTGCATTCAATGAAAATATAATGAAGATTGTGAACAAAAACAAACACACATCTTAACAGCAAAACTGCCAATTTAGAAGTGATATGTGCATTATTAGAGAGTATGCTAGTTATGAGAGGAGTGGTGTTGCAAGACTGTTGGTGAAGGATTGCTGCATGATTATTTGCCTGTAGGTATACAGAAAGAAGTGGGAGTTACAAGGCTAGCAGTAGGCAAAAACTTTTTGCCGACAGAGGGCAGTACTAGCCAAGAAAGCTTTTTGTGAAAGGAGGCAAGATATCGTATCGGAAACATAATTCATATAATTAAT